AAGTGATCATATAATTTTTTTATCTCGAAAGGTACTACAATGCTTTGTTTGAATTTTATGTAAAAATTAATAAAATTTAATCAGTTGGGAAATATGGTAGTAGCTCAAATTTACTTAATTCATAATATGAAATATCTACTGAATAGAAGATGATTATGAAAGAATAAATAAAACAAGCCCCATTTTTAAAAGGCAGATGATTATAGAACATGCAATAATTGATGATGATTTTTAATAATCCTAAAATAAAGTAAAAATCAACAATATACTTTTATCTGATGTGTGTAACTTTTCATGAGTGGTTGAATACTAACTAACATTGTACTTTAATATAATAAACTATACTCAAGATTGTGCTCATATATGCTACATATTTTTGCAAATTTGTTCATAAAATCTCATGTTCTTACCGTAATATGTATGTGTGCCAACATACAAGTTATAGGAAATTGCACATCTAATAAGAAGTCGAGATACAAATTCTGACTGTTAAGAATTACTGCTTAGATCTGCCAAAAGCACAGACTACATAAACTATATTAGAAAAAGATACGTATTTTGAAGTATGCATTAAAGACGCATATAGTATGTATGATGCATATAGTGGATAGTCATTCCTAACAATAAGATAAATAGAAAAATTTAAATATTATAAAAGTCCTTATTTTATCTCTTATAAAAGGCAAAAGGATGGGATAGAATAAATCACCTTTTCCCCCTTTTCTTTCCTTTTTTTTCCTTTTTTTATTTTATACTTAATACCAGTATTTCTTAAACTGAAAACTGCCAGTAGCATAAAATTTAAAAATTAGCATAGAAATACAATTGATACTGCTGATGTCTTCTTTAACTTAGACATTGAAATGATCTCAGGTCAGCTTTTGAAGAATATTTTCAAAATAAACTTTCTTTAAGCAAGGTCATAAATATATATGAATTAAAATTAGAGCTTGCAGAAGATTTAACTGCAGATGCACTTGCAAATGCTCTCGAAAATTCCTTATACGGAACTATCAAATATGAAACTCATTACTTTATCAGCTTTTCAGAATAGAAATTTGTGAATTAATATTTAAATAAAATTTTTATTTTCCTTTTTGGGTAAATGATCATAAAAATAACAAATGCAAAATCTGTTTCTATTTATTTACATGAATTTCCTTGAAGTGTTCCAGTTTTCGACCTCATAAGAATACAAAACTATGCTGTAACAGAAAGAAATCTGATGTGGTTTCACACCCTTTGGTTCTTCCCCATTGTAAAATAATTTTTAATATTGAAGAGCAGATTATTTTATTAATATACAAAAATAATAAAATATTTTCTGCGTGTGATCAAGTTATGTTCTAAGATTTTTCAGTGCTGTTCATTAAAAAAAGTTTTATGCAATGGTTTTAATTTCAGGCATTTCGGCAAAGTGAATCGCAGTTGAAAAAATCGAGCCCTTGTTCTGAAAATGGAATGTTAGATGTAAGTAATGATAACTAAGTAACTGAGTCTAAGTAACTGATAACAGTGTGAACCACATAATTGTAAGCACTGCTAATAAATATGCGCTAGGCACGTTTGGTTATTATGAACAAAGATGATATTCAAATGGTTGTAAAAATTTAAAGGTTTCAATTAGTTATTACGGACATTATTTCATCATAATGCTTTTAATTAAATATATGAATTAAGAAAATACAAAAATTAAGGCATAATTAATCATATCAAGTAGTTGAAAGTATATTCAAAATGGTTTTTCCCAAACTTTTTCTAATACAGTTTTTGACGCATACTAAAAGTGAGGGATATTAACATTTAGTCTAAGAATTCATATTATTTTTGTCATAAAGTAAGTTTTACTATAATTCTTCTTATATTGTAAGATAAAATTTATATAGATATTATGAATTAAAAATGTATGGTAGATGTTAAACTAGATTTTAATAATATGTAATTTTGAACTTTTAAATATATTACTGTAATTATTTTTAATGTTCTTATTAAATTTTTAATTAATGTTATGCATATATTAGGAAAGTTAGAAGGGCATAATTGTTGTTTCTCAGTTCGATTCATCTGCATTATAAAAAATCACTCAAGAACTGATACACCAGGGCCAGCTTGACTAGTTTAGAAGCATTTCTCCGATGTCTTTACAAGTTACTACCATATTTATTTCGTCAACCAGAAATCTTCAATAAGATTAGTGCATCTTGCACAGGTACCTTGGTGCTACACTCTTCTACTGAAATCAGTAGAGGTAAAATTGAAAGTTTAATTATAGAATAAATGGTTCTACATTTTACGATATTTCAAGAATTAACTGTAACGAGGCAAGAAATATTTGTACCTTAACATTTTCTTGAATTCTATTATTGATTTGTTATGATACACAGATACGTACTAATATCATTAGAAGGTAGCATTTGGTATTGTTTTGTTTCAACAAATGACAGGATCAACAGATGATGAAGTGCCAAACAGATTATCGCGCAAAGTGAAAGAATGCCTGCAGGCCATCCACGAACACAAGCTATTAAACAACGAATGAAAATAAAACAAGACTTAACAACTGAAAGAAAAATTTTGAGGAATGTCCTACCTCATAACGCTTAATTGTTTCATACAATTGTAAATTTATGTGACTATTTTTTCCTGTTCGTTTTGTATCCTGTATTATTTTAAATTCATGTTTTCATTCCTTGCTTTATTATGCAATTCATTCAATTATTGTTTGTTGTACATATTAATTATATCTACACATGTATGTATAAATTATACCTTTAAAATTACCGAGTTTGAATAAACCTTTTGGTACTTATGCACTATCGCAACCATCTTACTAGAAGTAGCCAAATTTTCAGAAAGCGGCAAAACCTGGTAACCATGTTCATAACAATCGTTTCAGTCAAGAAATGCTGCCATTTTCGTATGCGTTTTATTTTGTTGTATTACAACTTCCAACGGATTTTATATACACACGTCATGATACTTTTGCCTTAAACTTAATTTAAAAATATGAGCTTGTGGAATTCGCCAGCAATGGGAGAAACTAGGGTAAAATTTCGGCAGTGATACAGAATTTTGCTGAAAACTTTCTCAAGGAAACAACGAGGAAATGCGTTTTCAAGATAGCCGCTGTTTCTGAAGATTGCACAAAGCGGAGTCTCTGCAATTCTGAGTTTTTAAAGGAAAACAGATCGCTGTGTACTTCGGGAGAATAATGCAAAAAATAAAGAAAGATTCGAAAAAGAATACAAGTGTTATTTTTTAATGTACGATATAATTCTTATTTAATAATTAAAAATTGTATTTTAAATTGCTAAAGAATGTTTTCCTTTCCTAACTTGATACTCTTTACCAAACTTACTATAAATATCGACAGTTTGGACAGTTTAATTTTTCTTATTATTTCCTCAATTATTGGTAAGACATAAATCGGATATTTAGTTATGCTATTTAAGTTTTTTGTAGTCAGCAGTGAAACGATGTTCTTCAAAATCAGTGGGCGGGAGACAATTTTTCTTTCGGCTTAATACGTAGCGTAGAGACTAATTTACGGGGATTAGAATTTTATTTTTCAGCATTTCTGGAATGTATTTTTGTATGATTTCCTCTTTGAAATCGTCGCAGAGGTAGGATTTTGTTCTACATGGGGGATGATTTCCTGTTTCTGTCGAGTGAATGAAACATGGGTGAACCCTGGGGTATCAAACAAATCTGAAAATTTTTTTATCAACGGCCTTTGTTTATGTTACCGCTTCAACTCTTTCAGATCAAAGTCGGCGGCTATACTTGTTCACATCAAGCTGCAACGTAACTACCTGAAAATTAATTTTAGTGCCAGCAGTCTTAAAAAATCCACTCCCAGTATGATGTTTACCTGTCAGTTTCTCACCACGCAAGCGCACACGTCTTCTTTCTGATGCTTATTTTTAACCTGCACAATCAAAGTCGAATCCGCAGGGAGGGCCGCTATCATCTTCGTACCCTCCACATCAAACAATCTGTAACTGTCAAAAAGCTATTTTGCGCCTCTATAGGCATTTAACACTATTTGAATCACTGGTATGGACAAATTTTTAATTAGTCTGGTATTCAATCGGTCGCGAGAGGATGGCTGTCTTCTCCGACTTGCAGCACTTCTACCTACTTTAAAGTTTTATTATATTCCTTCCCTTTACTCTTTTTAGATTTATTTTGGCGATCGCTTTTAGTCGACGAACAATTCTGTCGACTCTGAAACCACCTTGTCCGTCACACGTATGGCCTCTTCCGGCTCTAAGGGCTTGGGAAAATGTCCGCTAAACCTTTCCTCGTATCCCGCTGTACCCGTATTCATTGACATTCGTCTATTTCCAAATTTCACGGCTAACTCAAATAACTCTTCTGAGGCAACAACTTGAGTATTATTGTTTGAATAACTTCTGCAACAGGCTTTCCTCATGTAACAAATTTCCCGCCTGTACTTTTACTTGAAATGAAATTTCTTACGTTTTCTGCCTTAGTTTGATATTTACCAAAATGTTCAGCTTCTAATTTTGCTCTATTTTTCACTACAGGGAATGCTTTCAAAAGGACGGTTTTAAACTCGCAAAACTTTCCGCTCCCTGGTTCATCTAATAAAACTTTTCCGATGCCTTTGCTTTGTTCCAGCTCAGGGCCTATCCTAGAAGTTCAGCGGTTGCTATCGTGTACTGCTACATCTCTGCAAGTGTCCCAGTTAAACTATAGTTCCAAATAAGTTAATGAAATTTTTTTTAATACAAATCACATCTCTTAAAATCTGTCTCCAGCAAAACGCAATCCCAGTTAGCTAGATTAGACTGTACAAGAATTTTAAGCTACTTATTACAGATTTATTTCAAGCTATTTGCATTCACTAGCTGAAATGAGCGGGAAAAATTTATAACAGCAATAAACAACGGATGCGGTGAGAAGAAAGAATTAAAAATCATTCAAAAATATGTACCCTCAATAATAATGGGAAAAATCCAAAATGTTCAACATACCTTAGACTCTGAGCAAGAGTATTTTTTGCCATATATATTCCCAGTATCGGCGGTTGTCCTATCCAACCTTCCATGGCTGAGTTTTCGTACAGGATTACAGAGCCATTTCCTGTAAACAAAGCACAATTTTAGTGAGAAATCTCAACTAACATAAATGTTTACTTACAATAATTGCTATATCCACGTAAACGTAATTACATTAGCGCAACTCATGAATTAAATTTTCACTGTCCAAAAATTTACGTAATTCCCAATTTTCGAACGACAGAAGATGACATAGTTTGCTAAAACGTTCATGAAAGAATTCTGTCAGAAGAAAACTTTAAATCAAAAATGAAAATATTTACAAAACAGGGTATTGGGGAGTTTCAATTATGGTCAAAGAGTGGAGGACTAATGAATTATGGAGGGTGGCCGCTGACAGGGATTTTCGGAAAAGGAAACTGGATCATCCTACGCATGATTTTATTTATAGTGTTTGGGCCTGTAATTGCACTCGCAAAACACGCACTGGAGGACGTACGCCAATTAGCACTGCATTAATTACTTATGCAATACAGTGTAATTGTTTTCAATACGTTGCATAGTAATGGACCCAACCATAGTTGCATAGTAATTGCAATTATATAACCTGCAATAATACAGTAATTGAATTAAAAACATTATTGACATCGAAACATTCAGAAAAACATGAACAATTCCATAATCGAATCTTCACTTACATAATTAAACTAGCACCAGCGCAATAATCCGTTACATTAGACGGGAAAATCGTTTACACTCAAATACAGTAATCTTGTACATCGAAATAGCTCAGCAGATGTCCATCATACCGCTTGGAAAGCGCGTTCTCTAACACGTTGTCACCATTCGGCTAAACGCCACGGTTCGGCATCGCGTATAAAGTGAAGCACGAAATGGGTTTACACACGGCATAGCGCTTGCTCAACACAAACTCAAAAAAACCCGACGAACAACTCGACGAGGCACTAACTCGCGATCAACTCGATGGATGAGACACTGAACTGACACTCCGAGTGCAGGCAGGGTTCATATAGCTTTTTTACTGCCTTTGAGAACATTCTAGCCCAAGCCGGTAAGAATTCGTTCTAGAAGGTTCTCCGTCCGTCTATGGCATATCGCCAATTTTGTCATCAAATGGGTCATTTCTCGCCAAATATGGCAACCCTGCCTTCCCTTGCCATTTTCTGGCTACCCTAAACCTGCTTTGCGAGGAAGCTATCTTACCGCAGCTGGACATTTAGTAACAATACAACGGGATAATCAAATAAGATAATTATTTGTATATTCCATCTGGGATCATCCTGCTTAATTTCTGCAAGAAATACAGTTTTTAACAGCAACATAAATTACTAATTCTTTGTTAAATACCACGCATATTTTTATTAACTATGTAAAATAAATACAGTTAAAGCAGAATGAATTTACAAGAGCTAATTTCGGCTGTTTCATATTGAACTTAATACCCATAACTTTTTAAAACAAATATGAGTGTTTATGATGTCCGCTAACAGATATGTGGATCTGAATTATTTTGTTAAGGAAAAGCAAGCAGCCTGTAAGCCTATGGAAAGGGATACCTTTGTGGAGGATTTGATATGGAAACTGGCCTTTTTTATAGTAAACAGGGAATAAATCATGAAAACTTCACTTCGTCTTCCCGTTTGAATTCCATTTTTCGACACAGCTGGTAGAAACAATATTCTGATCCAAAATTATCTTGCTTAATTGTTATGTGTATTAAAATTCTCAGAAACGGTATCGGTTGCGAATTAGTTTATTAAATACCACATATTTTCAATAACTAGTTAAAAAAGCATTATTTACTTACAAGTGATAGCATCTGTAAAATCTACTTTCCAAAGCTTCAGTTAAAAATAAACAAGCATAAATTTGTTTAAGTACAAGGGCCACCTATTATTTACCCTGAGTAAAGATGTAAAGGCTCCTTATACTATCTATCCAGATTAACATCCCCTTCCTGGTGCCCACGATGCCGCTGTGCTACTTTTATTTGGTGCAACGCCATCTCAAGCTCTGCTCACAGCTAAATCTCAGTTCCTTCAAAAACATTCATGGTAAAATTTAAAGATGAAATGCCCAAAGGAGACAGTCAAACTCATTTGTTTCAGTAACTGTTTAAATGAAATCGACTTCTACGATTCGTTTACTTAATTAAAATTATGGCAAAGTACGTGAGAAGACAACTATCTAAGGAGAGGAATGCCTTCGTAGAGAACTTTCTGAAAGGATGCTGCTCTTATTCGTATTACATACAGACTTTCAAAGTAAATTGTTCCGCTGAGAAATAGTATACTATTTATAGTCTTTTAGGGGCTCTTCTGATTTCTTCAAGTAGTAAAAATGGTTTGATTAGCGAAAAATGTGTGTCTGCTAGATATCAGAATCCCTACAAAAGCACATTCAGCAAAACTACAGTAACATTTTCCGGCATAATAATTAAATTTATTTCTAACTAGATAACGATGGAAAAAAATTTTAAAATTTTAACTGTAACTGGATTCAAAGGGAAACAGTTAAGGAAACCTTTTATTTCTGAATAAATACTGAAAGTGGTTTATTTTGATTTTAAAGATATTTCATTTATACAGAAAATATTAAGAGTCCTGACACAGTGAAGTTACTTTAATAAGCAACGTCAGAATGTCGAAATCTATGCGTCTTCAAGAAATCCCCTAAAGGCAATGAAAACAAAAGTTACCGTATTCTGAACCTCATCCCTTCTCAGCTGGCATTTCAATTTTATCAAGATTTTAAGTCAAGGAAACAGATACGAAATATTCATTAAAACAAGAGAACTTTTAACGTGAGGCAATTTCCAGGCTGATGAGTGATAAGCTATTTCTAGGACTTATTAAAAGTTGTGAAATAACGCGTTAATTGACTTGTAGGACGCATTTCTTGATTACAGAAGCGAAAATTTTTATGCTGTTTTGAAGCTCAAATCCTATGAACGCACTTAGTGCGGTAAGGGTTGACGAATGTTCCCAGCTGATGTTTATTAAAAGCAAAGTGCTTGATTTTAGACAGAAAATAGTTATATCGAAACTTAAAAGTTCCGGGGAAAGAAGTATTTGGTATTTGTCATTTGTCATAATAAACTGGCGAGAAAGACAGCTACTAATTAAAGAATCCTACTGATGTTTTAGGAAAAATTTATACGATTCTGCAATATGGCGATAACAAATACGGATATGTTTTAAAATAGATAGTGCTGAAATCAAAAATGGACCAAATGCCTAAAATGATAAAATTGATTACCCATCTAAGCAATTTAGTTTATAGCCTGATAAGTTGTTTATGGCCAACTATACAAAGGCAGTTTGCTCGAGAAGGGATGCCTATGTGAAAGGCTTTTGTAGGCTGCTAGCATACATTTATTTATTTCGGACGAATAACTTGTTCAGTTTTGCTATATGCTTCACCACTAAAAGAAAGCGCAAGATGTTTTCCTTCCTTTCGCAAAAAAAAAAAAAAAAAAAAAAAAAAAAAAAAAAATCTGAATTTTTGCTTTTAACAACCAATTAACTCTCAGCATCGAATCCCTAATCATCAGCCATTGTTTGTAATGTAGAACTAGTTTCTTCTTTACATGGGAAACCCCAAAGGGATCAGTTATTGGCTCTTTTATATTATGTGACGAAGCAGAAAAATTGTACTAAAGAGCATTTGTCATGGGGAAGGCGATCTGCCTAAGGGGCGGACTTATGGAAAATTGGCTCGTAATCACATTACACATAAGAAAACTCACGAAACTCTCATGTAGTCAGCCAGTTTTCCGGGACTTGAGCCATGGTTGACCTATCAGGGTTCGACGATTTTCGATCGTTCTGAACGCATATAATATAAAACTACTTCCTCTGAAACCTGATGTACGTAGCATAGAAGCTGGCTTTAGTTGTGAGGAGAGTTCATAAGATGGTGTAAAATATTCCGTAAAATAAGCTGAAATAATTACACAAAACTTAAAAGAAAATCCTAAAAAATTTAACACTGTTATAACTGAAGATGCAACAAAATTCTGAAAATATTTGCTTCGTGGCAGAGAAGCATTAGCGAAGGACTGATCTCTGGAATATACGTACATTTAGCTATAATAAAATACTAATGTCTAGTATTAAACACTGCATTAATAAGTGTAACATTAATTCAAAGCTTTTTTTAGACACTATTACACTGACAAGCGAATTATCGCTTCGGTGAAAACGTACAACAAAGATATACGAAGGTTTTAAATAAACCTTTTTATTTAAGCTTGGAGTAATCGGCACAACTTATATGTATATTCGAAACTCCCTCATTTGTGGGTATTAAAATAACAAAACCGAATTTGCAATTTAAAAAGGTGTCGTAGCCAAAAACTACACGAATTTAGGCCTACGTACGCTGGCTCAATTTTAATGGCGCGATTTACCGTCGGTAAGCACACATACGAAATACTGCTAATGCTGGAATATTAACTGGCAGGGTTACAGCTGAAAATGTCGCGGAGAAAAACCACGCAAGGCGAAAACGTCGTGGTACAAAACATCGCGATACAAAATATCGTGGTCGAAAATAAAGCAGCTCAAAACATCGTCGTCGAAAATATCGTGGTAAAAAATAAAGTACCTACAAATCATCGCATAACGATAACATCGCACATATGCAGTTTTTAAATCTCATACTGACATTATTATGTAACTGACTTCTATCATAACTAACAAATAGACATCCAAAAAATTGATTGCACGTTATACATGAAAATCTTAACGACACTTTAAGAACAAAGGGAGACAAAACAAAATATAATTTTCACTAAAACAATATCAGATGAATAGATGTGAAAGAAAATAATTTGATAATTAACTAAGCAATTTTATAGAGCAATCTCATGCAGTTATTTATCTCCCTTAAGCCCTTTTAGACTATTTTTCATAAAACATTATCAGTAAAACTTTATAAAAAGGTCAATTTATTAATGAACTTTGTTAATTAACTATGTAAATTAAAAATTCTATTAAGATCTACAAGTTGCATTAATTTTCTATACATTTAAAATTTTTAAACGCTTAAAATTTCCTTCTTA